TTTTTCACCTATTAAGTTAAAACTTCAAATTTAAAAAGTTTGAATTTTGAAATATTAAATTTTTTTCACCCAATAGACATAATAATAAATATATTAATAGATTTAATAATTTTTCATACTAAAATTTGTGGGAAACATGCATAGAAGTAATGGACAATATTAAATGCTGAATCTTTTCTCACCTCCCAAGTTCAAAATTCAACTTTAGAAAGTTTAAATTTTAAGTATTAAATATTTTCCCTCCCAATAGACATAATAATAAATTAATAGGCTTAACAATTTTCTATGCAAAAAATAAAGGGAAACATGCATAGAGTTCTGTACACATTCTCCAAGTAATAGCTTCTAGGTAATCATTCACGACATAGGAATTTGTGTTAATTACACTCTCCCATCAAAAGAATGAAAGTTTGATTTCTTTCTAATATATTTAATTTAAAAATTTAAAAATCAACATGATAATAGAATTAATTATACATACTTTTAAAAAATAAATTTTTTCTCTTTTAATTTATATTTTATATATATATATATATATTTATAATTTTTATCTTAAGTATTTTTTAAAAAGTTTCTCGTACGAATTTTTTTTCCTTTTTGTATCATTATTTTTAGTTTAGATTTTAATTTACTTTATTTTAAAGTATATTTTTATAATTTTAAATATTTTTTCGTTTCAATAATAATTTTTTGTTAAAATTAAATTTATTTTATACATATCTTTTTTCCAGTTTTATAAATAATTCTAATAGGTATAATAATTAAGCTCAATAAACATAATAATAACTATCATTAATATGCTTAATAATTTCCTACGCAGAAAGTAGTGGACAATATTAAATGTTGAATCTTTTCCCACCTCCCAAGTTCAAAATTCAAATTTAGAAAGTTTAAATTTTAACTATTAAATTTTTTCCCTCCCAAAAAACATAATAATAAATTAAGGGTTCGCTTTTTTGCAGTTACTGCAGATAAGTTATCTACAGTAAGCTCAATACAACGTCGTTTTTGGCCAAAATCAAGGTGTTTTTGTAATTTTATTTTATTTCAGGGTTATAATAGTCTTTATATTTATAATTTTTTAAGATTTCAATACCAAAACGACGTCATTTTGAGAACAAATGCAGATAACTTATCTGCATTAACTACAGAAATATTTTTCCCATAAATTAATAGGATTAACAATTTTCTATGCAAAAAATAAAGGGAAACATGCATAGAGGTCTGTACACATTCTCCAAGTATTAGCTTCTAGGTAATCATTCACGACATAGAAAATTGTGTTAATTACACTCTTACATCAAAAGAATGAAAGTTTGATTTCTTTCTAATATATTTAATTTTAAAATTTAAAATTCAACATGATAATAGAATTAATTATACGTACTTTTAAAAAATAATGTTTTTCTCTTTTAATTTATATTATATACATATATATATATATATATATATACATTTAAAATATTTATCTTAAGTACTTTTTAAAAAGTTTCTTGTACGAATTTTTTTTCCTTTTTGTATCATTATTTTTAGTTCATATTTTAATTTACTTTATTTTAAAGTATATTTTTATAATTTTAAATATTTTTGTTTTTCGATAAATATGAAAAAAAGTATTCAATGTTTTTTAAAATGAGGATTAGCAATTTCCATGTAAAAAATAGTGGAAGTTTAATACAGTTGTCTCATACTAAAAGATGTTAAATTGTTATCAAAAAAAAAAAAAAAAAGATGTTAAATTCTTTTCCCCTCTATACCAACTTCAAATTCTTTTCACTTCACACCTATCAAATTATTTCAATTTCAAATTTGAAAAGTTTACTAATTGATATAATAATTAAGCTCAATAGATATAATATATACATTGAAATTTTTACTAATAGGTATAATAATTTCCCACTTAAGCTTCTTGAAACAATAAGTCACCGCTCATCTTGCCAATGAAAATCATGTCTTCACCGCCAATTTTTTTGTGAAGAATTAATGTTTAATTATGGAGCTTGGTTTTTGAGATTTTCTGAAGAGTGAAAAGAATAACACACCAATTTGAAAATTTATAGAATATTGGAGGGTTTGATTATATTTGCATCGAAGATGGTGCGCTTGTCATGGAAAAGCTAAAGGTCACGTCACTTAGATAACAACTAATCACTTCTGAGAAACTATCCATATACTGATTATTTTAGAAAATGAATATTAAAAAAAATTCAAATTTTTTTTTAATAAATGCAGAACGTATAGTGATATAGTTGCTGCAATTACTAATGCAGAACGTGTAATGGTATAATTGTTGCATTTTTGTTCTTTTTTAGACCCAAAAAATTAATTAATCCCAATAAACATAATAATAAAATGCCCCCTCTTATTTTTCAAATTAAACATGTTACATCATTAATTTACATAATGAGTTCTAATATAGCACTCGCTATGAGTTACATCTCCAAGAAAGTTATAACGTACTGTGCGTGCTTTAAAATCTGTTTATAGGTAACCTATACCATAAAAATTTGTTTGTAAGTAACATATACCATAAATGGGGTGCTATCTACATTAACGATAATTGATTAACATAACAAAGTAAACAACTCGAATTATAGTGTAAGACAAGAGGAACATATTACAAATGACTCTAAAAAAATTAAAAACATATCATTTTAGTTTTAATCTTATTAAACTTATAAAAAAAATATAATGAAAGATATTAGCAATTATTATTAGTAAAATAAATGTAATGAATCTCGTATAATTTGGGTGTACAATCAGAAGCTACAAAAGATTCTATGGTTTGAGAAGGCATGCCTAGATGGCTTTTCGAATGAACATGCCCAAAACACGAGAATAAAAATCAAGGCTCACTTTGGGGTCTTTCATTCGAAACATATGCAATTGAAATAACAAATAAAAAAAATCAAAATTGAAAAACTTAAAGAGAGTAACCCATATCTTCTTCTTTCATCTAATATACTCACAAACCGTTCTTCTTCTTCTTAACCTAAATTTCATTGATGATGTTGATTTTGTGGTAGATTGTTTGCTTTCACTATTATAAAGCCTTGATCTTTTAATTTTCCACCATTATGCATTTTTCGCGTTTTCCTCATTAATAACCCTGAAACATAAGCGTAAAATGAGAAAAAATTATAAAAAAAATATCCCTGAAATCTTTGTTCAACATTTTGAGAAGATTGATTATTTGCCAAGAAAGTTTGTACTTGATCTACATACCGCTCCCACAAAGTACACTCAGGCTTGTGATATTCCAAATCCTTTTGTCGGCTTTGCTCTACAACAGAGCTGCAAAAAAAAAAAAATACATTGTCATCTAATAGAAGAACAACTTGACAATAGCATGGATTCTTCCACCCTACAAAACAAATACATAAAATAGTTAAAAAAAACATATCACAATATTGTGTTATGGAAAAAAATACTTGTAGAAGAAAAAAAGATTGAGAAGAATGTCATACCTTCCTCTAAGGAAGTAAAGAAATACATATTCTAGTGATTCCAAATCATCCCGTCAGCTTTACTATACAATAGTGCTACAAAAAAAAATGAAAAATATTATATGTTCATCTAATAGAAGAACAACTTGATAAGATGAAGAAGATAAATAGATAGAGAAGAGAAGAACCATATGCACAAAAGCTTATTACCAAATGAAAAGACCCAGTAACACATATCCTATTTATACACAAAATAATTTCGTTTTTTAATAATTAAGTCCAATAGTGGAATATTAATGGGATTAACAATTACCTATGCAGAAAGTAGTGGGATATAATGATGACCTTTTTCCCACCTTTAAGTTTAAATTTTGAATTTGAATACTTTTCCACCTACCAATGCAAAAAGTAATGAGATATTAATACTTTTCTACCTACCCTTGTAGAAAGTAGTGGATCATTAATACATGTGTCTTCCACTATATTTTTTGAATTATTTTTCCCACACATTTCAAATTTCAATTTCGAATTTTGAATTGAGAACATCATTAATACAGCTGTCTGCCACCAAGTATTTTATAATGATTTAAAAGAAACTCTCATTCCTTTGTAGAATTTTTTTATTTACGAAATAAAAAACATTTCCAAAAGAAGTAACTTTTCAAACTATCTCTAGTGTGAACACAAAGCTGAGAATTAAGAAGGAAGTGACACGTCAGCAAAGTTTCTAAAGTTTGGTTCTCCTTTCTATATATTAAGATAAAGAAACCAAAGAGAAGAAGACAAGCACTTAAGGTAGATTGACATAGAAAACTAATACGTCGTCATTTTTATATCATGGAATCTGACTCAGCGACTTAACGGTCCACGTGAAAAACGTCAATAACGACGTTGGAGCTCCACTAACGGAAGAACTAACGTGGGTTTAATTTGAAAAAAACAGGGACCACAAATGACCTTTTTTATTACTAGGGATTAAAGAGGACATCGTGAAATTTACTGAGAACCAAATAGGGTATTTACTCTTTTTATTATCACGCTCATTATTGTTCGCTATTCCGCTTCACTCTCGCCTTTTGCTGAAAAATCATATTTTGTTTAAGGGTCTTATAAATATAATGTTATATAATTGTATCATGTTATAGACACCTAAACATTGTAAGTTCCATTTCATAGAAAAAGAGAAAAAATAAATTGGTGTGGATTGCACACCTTTTTAAATGTGCAGGAAAAAGAAGTTATATATAACACTTCTATTTCCCTTTGTTTAAACATTTTTATTTTGATATAAGTATCAGTGGTTTGGTATAATTTTTACAAAACTTTCTGAAAAAAGGATTATAATATGATCTCGATATATAGATATAGATATATATTCTTCTCTTCTACCTGGCAGCAATTGCTCAATTTGGTAATCGGTTATCCGACACGTACGTTTACACATGTCCTCGTGCATGCAATTGTCATCATTTATTTCCGTTCATATAAACAACACAGTTCACTCTTCCATGCATATCAAAGAAAGAGTAGAGCGAACTCTCGCCGAACACAAAAATGGCGATGAAAGGCAAGCTTTGTTTAGCTATCTTCCTCTTCTTCCTGTTAGCCTTATGTTCAAACTTAGCCATGGCCACAGAAAAAAAAGTGGTAGAAGACCCTGAGCTCAAAACGTGTAAACACCAGTGCAAACAGCAGCGGGAATACAGTGAGGATGACAAGCGCATATGCATGCAAATGTGTGATAAGTATCGTGAGATGAAGCAAAAACGAGAGAAACAAATAGAAGAGGAAATTCGTAGGAAGAAAGAGCATGAGATGGAGGAAAAAGGTAATCACCATCATCATCACAGTGAAGAGGAGGAGGAAGAAGAAGAAGAAGAAGAAAAGGAAGAAAAGGAAAATCCCTACGTTTTTGAAGATAACGATTTTGACACCAGAGTTGATACAGAGGATGGCAGAGAATGTGTACTACAAAAGTTCACCAAAAAATCCAAGTTTCTTCAAGGCATTCAGAATTTTCGTTTGGCCATTTTAGAAGCTAACCCACGTAGTTTCGTGTCTCCACGCCACTTTGATTCTGAGGCTGTTTTCGTGGACGTGAAGGGTATAAATATATATATATATATATATATATTTTTAAATCTAGTCATTTAGATTTTCATGCTCTTTTTGGTGGTTATTCACAGTTACTGTTGATGATGTACAATTTATGAATATTATTCTTCTTCTTTTATTAATAGGGCGAGCTACAATTGGCTTGGTGATTGAAGACAAAACAGAAAGATTCAACCTTGAACCTGGAGACATCATGAGGATACCAGCTGGGACCCCTGTATACGTGGTTAATAGAGATGCGAATGAAAAGCTCTTCATTGCACAATTCCATTTACCTGTCTCTACTCCTGGAAATTTTGAGGTTAATACTTCTTAGTCACATAATTGATTCACTTACTTTTTAAACTAAGATTGAATTCATGATTGAGTCCACATGTTGACTAATGTGAAAAAAAGACAATCAATTAACATAGTTCAAAAAAACAGAAATAGCAGGGTTTACAGAAATTGTGTAATGGTGTAGGCATTTTTTGGGCCTGGAGGGAAAGACCCAGAATCAGTCCTCAAAGCATTCAGCTGGGATGTCCTCGAAGCTGCACTTCAAGTAAACTCTATATATATTATGATGCATATAGTTTGTTACTTGTTATTATTTGTTATATTTTGTCTATTTCATTGATTTGGTTTTCTTTTTCTACCACTTACCTAAACACCAAACAGACCCCTAGAGGAAGGTTAGAAGGGCTTTTTAGTAAACAGAAGAAGGGAAGTATATTCAAAATATCCAATGAACACGTGCAAGCATTGGCCCCCCAGACAGGGTTTTGGCCTTTTGGGTCATCGAGGGATCCATTCAATATTTTCAGCAAGAGTCCCACTTTCTCCAACCAATATGGTCGTCTCTTTGAAGTTGGTCCTGATGATAAAAAGAGCGGTCTTCAAGGACTCAATTTCATGCTTACCTTCGCCAACATCACCAAGGTAATCAATCTCCTTACAGTTTATTTACTCATCACATTTAATTAATCTTTTGGGTGAAATGGTGCCAAGATGATTACGTTCAAAAAATTGGACATGTTTGCAATATACACCTTTCATTTGTAGTATCTCTTATCTAAATATTTCATTTGTAGGGATCTATGAGTACTCTGCATTACAACTCACATGCAACCAAGATAGCACTGGTAATTGAAGGTGATGGAGAAGGGCGTTTTGAGATGGCATGCCCTCATGTTTCATCATCAAAGTCACACTCATCATATCATAAGATCAGTGCAAGATTGAGGACTGGAGTGGTGTTTGTTGTTCCTGCTGGTCATCCCTTCGTTACCATAGCTTCAAAGAAAAGTAACCTGCTGATTCTTTGCTTCGAGGTTAACGCTCGAGGGAACAAGAAGCTTAATTTTGCGGGTATGCAGATATAATATATAACTCAATAAATTATATGGATGGAAAATAACAACTGAATAAGATTTGGAGTCAAAATATCCTTCCCTCCCCAATATATAAATATATATCCTTGTGATGCATGGCATTAACGATGTTAAGTTTGTCTTCATAATAAGAATTTTGTGTCTTTCTTTCATCTGATGAATGAGTGCAACTTGATTGTGTAACAGGGAAGAGGAACATTGTGAGTGCACTGGACAAGAATGCAAAGGAGCTGGCATTTAACTACCCTGCGGAGAAGGTGGATGAGATCTTCAACAGGGATGAGCAATTCTTTTTCCCTGGACCTTACACTTTCGAGGAGAGCGAGGACAGTGGTCGTGCTTATGCTTAATGGAGTGAAGGGGGTTGAAGATGACAAGTGTAGCCTTTAAGCATAAGGCTGAGATGCTAAGTCTGTTATGTTAGTGGAGATGTAAATTAGAAGTGAAGTATATGCAAATGCAGGGCATGTAAATGAAATAAAACGGCCACTGATGATTGCTATCTGTTATGGTAGCAAAACAATTAGTGCTGTACCAGAAGAAATGTTCTTATCTAATGCCCTGAACTACTAGTTTTGTTTTGTTATGTTTAGTATTTTTATTTTAAGGGTGGTTATAATTAAAATATAACTTTTTAGTAAGTATAACTTGTAAGTACCGGATGAAAAACAGGATGGGTTTTTTTTCTTTTCTTCAAAAGTTGTTTTTTTTTCCTTGAAAAAAAGTACTTCTTATTTTTAGTTCATTTGGATATCTACTTAAAAAAAAATAGAAGTCACAAAAAAAGTTAAAAACTTACTTTTTTTTTTTTCAGAAACTAAAAATTTTAAGTTAAATATTTTTTTCAAAAACTAAATATTTTTATAAAAATATAAATAGCTTTAACTTTTTTAAAAAGTACTTTTAAAATAGGGAAGAGATAAAAGTTACTTTTTTTTAAAAGCTGAAACAAACAGGCTCTTACAGTAATCACAAACATGTTACTCATTAAATTATGGGAAAAGTATTCGTCTTTTTAAACGACATAACTTATATCCTTTCACTTTCACAAAGAGATGGAATCCACACTTTTATATTTTTTTTTCATTCTCTCTTCTTTTTTATCTATCTCTTTCTCTCAGTTAAAATGACACAATTTTATATCTTTTAAAATGATACACATTTTTCTCTTAAATTAAGTTAATTTTTTCACTTCTTAAGAGAAAAAATTAATATCTCGTATCCCTTTTATCTCTACTTCTTTACTTGCAAAACAATTAATAACTAAGGATATTATAATAAAATTTATTTTGTTCACAATAGTTTAGTTGTATCCATTGTTCATTAAATTATCCTTCAATATACATCAAACACAATCTTGGAATTATTATAGTATGTCAATATATCTTCTCTCCTTAATTTTTTTGTTGTGAGAAAAATAAAACTGTATGCAAAAGAAATTAGGATGGGCCATGAAATTAAAAGTTTAAGGCTCTCCATGCCAAGGACATAAAAGCCCATTATTTGGATTGTTGGTCTACTTTATTATGACGGACTAGAGACAAATTTTCGTTGACTTTCTTTTCTAGTGTTCTTAATTACTTTGGCTCGCTCTGAATCTCTAGTGATTTTCTCTACTTCATGAAAATTAGTGGATAATTTAAGATGCATTCTGGACGCCTTTGTCACTTTTTGACAGTGGAGTAATTCCTCACATGACACAAGTGAGGCAATAGGGAAAAATGGTGCTATCTCATATCATTAAAGAATATTTCCCCACCTATAAATTTTCTTCTTCTTCCATTGGAGAGGTAGTTTGCATCAATTACTTTCATGCCCTTACACATTTTCCCTTTATCAGTCACATCTAAGATAATACATACTATGACTTTCCCCTAATTTTGATCGATATCATTAATTGTTACTTTGAACACTCATACAATGAGATTTTAAATCCCTTATAAAGGAACGTACCTAACTCTAATTCCATAATAACTCTAACATGGTTTTTATTATCGTTAACTTGTGCTTCCCCAATTCGCTGTGTAGAGGTTTATCATGAAAAGCTTATAAGATTTAGGGGCAGCAAAGATATACATAGGTAACAATGAGGCGTTCTTAGAATCATCTTATTGTTGAGCACATAATTCTCATCCGGGTATGCTAACGGGCTTATGCCTCTCGGACTGGCCATTAACTTTATTCTAGTTTCTAATGGAGAAAAGTATATGCATACAAAACTTAGGAATATTCCTCCACCTATTAAAAAAAAAAAAACCTCTTCTCCCATTTCTAATATTTATGCATACAAAATCAAACCCAAACAAAAAGATAAAATTCAGACATAATCATTAAAGTGTAAACAAAGATAAAATTTAATAAAAAAAAATCTAAATACTTTTTGTCTTCATAAAAAATAAGTTGGCGATTGTGATACTATATTAATATGTCCACATATGAATCTAATCCTTAAGTGCTGTGCGGTTGGCTTATATATAATGCTTTGTGCATCCTTCTTACGTGGTAGAATTATTTGGTGCTTTTGTTTTTCCTCTGGTCTCAAAAAACAAAAAAAAATTATTTGGTGCTTAAATTGGCAAGTTACTACAATCTTTGAATTTCCTCTCTGCCAACTTGGTGATGTCATGAAAGTAATTGCAAGGTTTTTTGTAGCGCTGGCTGGATGTGGAGCACAGATTACCACAGACAATGACACCAATGCCACTCTCTTCCCTTTAAGGCTTTAACCATCACAAGCACGACGCCATTAACTCCGAAACTAAGCCCTTCTCTTCCTACCTATACCTAACCTACCCTCTGTCGGTCCAAAAATGTGTCTTTCAGATTGGTGTTCATCTTTAGCAAGTTTTAAATTTGGGAAATTTTTTTGTCAAAAATAAATTTGTTTAAAAACTAATAATTACAAATATATTTATATTTATTTTTAAATTTCAATAAATTAAAATTATAATTAATGTACTTAAAATTAAATCGATTCAATAAATTAAAATTATGATGTACTTTAAATTAAATTGATAATAGATACAGTTTTTTTTTTGTTTTGGTAAACAGATACAGTTTTAATTTAGAGATAAGTTTACTCTAAAAATTCTTATCCCAATTTCAATAGTCGAATTATTATTTAAATTTAGATTACTTGATTACCAAAAAAAAAATTAGATTACTTGATATATAATATATAAATGAATCCATTCTCTGTTAATTGGTATTTAGTTTTATCTTTATTTTTTCTAGCAAAAATGTTTAACTAGGCTGAAAATTCATCATAATAATGTCTTAAACAAATCTTCTCTTATATGATAAATTGTAGTCTATTAATTTGAGATTGGTTAAATCTTTTTAGTATATTCCCTGTCATTTTAAATTTCACATACATCTCATTCTTAACTTTTTTATTTTAAATTTTAAATTTAATCTTTATATTGATTATATATTTTTATAATTGTAACTTTTTTATTAATCTATATTTCTATGATTTTACTTAAATTAGTTATGTATATCTCATTTAAATATTTCTCTGTTAAATTGTTTTCTATTTTAATTATTTTTTATTTAATCTAAATTAAAAAAAAAAAACCTAAAATGCATGGAATACTTGTTAGTGGTATACATATTACTGTGCAGATACATGTGAAATTTATGAATTATAAAAGAAATTTAAAAAGGAAATTTAAGTAGTAATTTTATTAATATAAATTTATTGTTTATACAGTTTTGATTGAACAATTAATTAATGATATATTTTTAACTTGATTAGTGATGTAATACTAATGTGAATCATTTACAGGATATTTAATTGTGGAATTTGATATGATTATGAGTTTGACATTACAATCATTCTTTTTCCCCAGTTAATATATCTCATGTCTATAAGGACAGCAAGTAACAATACAAAAAGTATATATACCGATGTAATTATGTAAATAAAATAATGTATGTATTGTATAAATGATTACATATTAAAATATCTATATATATCTTTAATTTAGTACTATTATTATTTTATTTTTTATTTTTTTGTACATAGTACTATTATTATTTTATTTTTTATTTTTTTGTACATAGTACTATTATTCTTAGGTAACCAATAGAAGAGGCTGGGTCCATATCCACATAACCGGTGCAGAACTAAAGTAGATGCATGCATGGATATTGGATACTGATTCAGAGGGGGAAATTTTATGGTGATCCCGCCTATCATACTTTCCCATTGAACATGTGACATTTGAAAAAAAAAAAAAATTCTCTCTTCTTTTCTCTGTCTCTTTCCTCCTGCCTATTCAATGTTTTATGCTATGGAAGCCCCAAAACAAAGCTCATTCGAAGGAATCGATCCATTAACTTACAAATACTCAATATATATATATATATATATATATATATATATATATATGATTCAGTCTCTGCTGTTGGAGAGAATATTTGAAGGGCCCGGCCCTCAAGGTCCCTTTAGAGAAAATTGGGTAGAGAGAGGAGAGAGATAGGAAGAAGAAGAAAAAAAAGAGGGATCATTGAATAAATTTTCCTGCTGTTGCATTACAAATTTTCAGATTTCTGCAGATACAATTCTTCGTGGGACCTATTGTTTTTTGAAGGAAAAAAAATACAAAAAGTCTGGCATGCTTCTCCATGGGTCAGATGGAAAATAGTTTCCGATTCCTGTAACATAAGAATTGAATTTTATATATATATATATATATATATATATATAGAGGAAAAATGTATATCATTTTTTTTTTTGATAACAAAATGTATATCATTTTAAAGGATATAAAATTGTATTATTTTAAGTGAGAGAAAGAGATAAATCATGGAAGAGAGAATGAAGGAAAATAATTTTAAAGATGTGGGTCTCTCTTCTTTGTGAGAGTGAAAGAATATAAGGTGTGTCATTTAGAATGAAACACATTTTTCCCTATATATATATATATATATATATATATATAAAACCCACACCCTATGATGCATCATTACTTTAAAAATCCTGATGTGTTGTGTTTGACACTTCTCTTCTCGACACTTTAACACGCATTGCAAAAACTCAAAAAATGATTCAAAGTTTGCATTATGTTCCATTTTTAGTTCTAACTATTAGATTCGTTGAATTATGATTCTCATTTTATTGAGTTTAACATAAATATTTGAGATATATTATATTTATTTACAAAATTAATGAGTATTATAAGATTAGCTTCATTTTTTTGTTAAATTATTAAATATTGATTATAATATATATACACTACATAAATTAAAAATATTATTTAATATCAAAATACATTCTAACATATCAGAATTTAATATTCTTTTAAATTAATATTATATGTGTTTCGTATCAATATCTATACAACTT